TTCTGAGGCTCAGAAATGATGGAAAAAGTCCATTAAAGTGATCAATCTGGACCCTCCTCTGTGGACTTGAAGGACCTGGACCTCTGGAACATTCACAGTCTGAAGGTAGAACTCTGGTCAGTAGATGAAGGTGCTGCAGAAACAGAACCAGATGTTCTGAGGAGGAACTGTTTTGCAGATTTGCTTGGTTTTATGTGGAGTAAACTCCTGCTTAGAGTCACTTCCTGTTCAGTGTGAACTCACCTGCAGACAGGTGTCTCCTCAGCAGCAGGTCGTGTTGACGGTTGTTCTTGTTTCTGTTGCATCATCACGCTTTGATCTGCTGCAGGTGTTAATGTGTCGGTTGTTCAGCAGTCGCTCATGTTTCCTGCAGCTCTCTCTCTCTCATTAATAACACTGTGTGTGCTTCAGCGGTGGAATGCGGCGGCCCGACCCCCCCGACCTCGTCATGGTTCGACCCGGTAGCTCCGGATCAAAGCCGAGCCTGGGGTTGCATACTTGTGTTCACTTATCCTGCACGGTTCCTCTGCGTCGGCGTGAGAACCTGCAGCTTCTCTTCTCAGGACTCACCGGACGTGGAATCAGTGTTTATGGAGGTTTACCTCAAACACGTCCAGCGAAACGCTGATTCACGTTTCCGCCGCAGCGTTCAGGTTTCACACCGAACGTCAAGCAGACCTGCTGCTGCTGAATCAGTCGTTAGGACAATAATTAGCGTGTTTGGTTTCCAGGAGGATTTGTCGAGAATCCAGACAATTGCACGTTTGGTAAATCCTCAGATGAAGCTCATCAGACGGCAACGTGTCATTAAAGCTGCTGGACTGCAAACTGGTGGCTTCAGCAGGTTTCAGAGAGCAACGGGGAGGAATTAGTAAAGCTTTATGTTTCACTCAACACAGTGTTTATGCTCAATAAAATCTATTTCTTTTACTCATGAAATTATCACGACGCAGCATTTCCTCCTAAGTTAAAGGTCTTTTAGGGTAATAAACAGGATGATTCTTTAGTGGAGCTACAAAAGGAAAAGAGTAGAAATGGAGGAAAACTCTGTAGTAATGAAGTCGCTCCAGCTGCTTTCCAACATTATTTAAGGTGTTTATGGAACTTTTTCATGATTTGAGGTTGTTTTGTTTTTTTTTACATTTTTCTAAAAACGTCGATAACGGGAGATGGAAATGCCTTTTTCATAAAAGTTCTGACGTCAGCTGATTTATTTTTGTTGTTTTTGTTTCACATGGAAAACGTCTGACACCAGTTAAAGAACAAATACAACTTCTTCTACTTGAGCTTCACCATTGAGGACTTCTCTCCATGTTTCTCTTTGAGATGCACAAAGTTTAGTTTCTTCTTCTTGAAAGTTTATTTTAATCTGTTTTCCTCTTCGTGGTGAAGTTCTCGATGTACCAGTCCATCTACGTCCCAACCCTCACATATGGTCACGAGATCTGGGTCGTGACCAAAAGAACGAGATCTTGGATACAAGTGGCAGAAATGAGTTTCCTCCTCAGGCTGGCTGGGCTCAGCCTTAGAGACAGGCTGAGGATCTCAGACATCCGGAGGAAGCTCAGAGTAGAGCCGCTGCTCCTTCACGTTGAAAGGATCCAGTTGAGGTGGTTTGGACATCGGATTTGGAAGACCTCCAGAGAGGCTTCTTCTGGAGGTCTTCCAAACACATCCACCTGGGAGGAGACCCCGGGGCAGACCCAGAACCCACTGGAGGGATCGTATCTCCCGGCTGGCCTGGGAACCTTGGGATCTTCCAGGAAGAGCTGGAAAGCATCGCCGGGGGGAGGAAAGTCTGGAATGACCTGCTCCGCCTACTGCCCCCACGACCCGACCCCGGATAAGTGGAAGATGATGGATGGATGGATGGATGGATGGATGGATGGCTGGGTGGATGGATGGATGGATGGATGGATGGATGGATGGATGGGTGGATGGATGGATGGATGAATGGGTGGATGGATGCGTGGATGGATGGATGAATGGGTGGATGGATGCGTGGATGGATGGATGGATGGGTGGGTGGATGGATGGATGAATGGGTGGATGGGTGGGTGGATGGGTCTTCCTCTACTCTGTTTATTGCAGCAGCGTCACCCACAGCGCCACCTTCTGACGACAGCCCAGTTTATCGTCTCCGAAGCAGCTAACGGAGAAACGAACCTGAATTATCGTTGATGACGTTTCAGAAGTTTGCCGACATGAAGGAACAACGACGACTTCCTCAACTGGAATGAGTTCCGACAGACTTTGATTCATTTTAAGGTTTCTTGGCGGTTACCTTCCTCTACTCTGTTTAATGCAGCTGTCATGTCCCACAGCGCCACCTTCAGACGACGCCCGGCTTATTGTTTATACGGCAGCTAATAGGAACAAACCTAATTAGCATTTTTTATTTAATTTTGTGCAACATTTTTACATCAGAACATGCCTGTTTTTGTCATTTTTTATTTAATTTTTGTCACTTGAAATGACGCAACGTAGTCAGAATGTTGTAAACCAGTAAAAGCGTACTCCGTCGTCAACAGAACCGACCCGCTGCGGCTTAATTGACGGATGCGACGCCGGAATAAATGAGTTCAGCGGGAAAGCGGCGCACGAGGAGGCCTGTGTGAGAGGAATCCGGAGTCGGAGGTTAATGATTGCAGCAGGTTTCCTCACATCCTCCCCGTCGAGCTAATCTACAATCACATTCTTCGGTTCCAGGGGAAAGTGGAGGAGAAACCCGGTTACACAACCGCCAGGCAGCAGAGTGGAAAGAACACGACGGCGGCCGAGGAATGAGGAGGCGACAGTCGCTTTAAATCCGGTCCGTCTGCTCGGCCGGCCGTGAGTCACCAGCACACGTCACGACTTGATCAGAATCAGGCTAAAGTGAAATGTGCTGAGATCAGCTGAGCAAAGTTCCAGCTGAAGACTAAACGAGCGACTGGTGGAGAGTTTTAGTTTTAGTTCAGCAGCGAGGCTCAAGTCTGCAGAACCAGCGATTTACGTCACATCAGTAACTCTGTTTGTCACCATTAAGCTAAGTTTTTATAACTTTAGCAGCTATGATTTAGTTTTTTCTACATCTTTAAAGCTGTTTAAGATCCAGCAGGGATCAGTAGTTTTGTTAAAATCAAAAAAAATTCTTTAAATCAGCAGAAACTCGTATTATTTCACAGATTGTTGCTGTTATTTGATTTAAAAATAATAAATACAAAATATAAAGCACTTTTAAAAACAGTTTATTTTACAGATTTTAACCCTGTTTGGTTAAATTACAGAAAATAACTAAGAATTAATTTATATTTTACCTGTTTTTTTATATAAATGTGAGGTTTTAACAGTCAATAATGTATTTCGACTCATTTTAATCTGCAGTTTTACAGTTTGACGCTGCTTTACTGTTTTTTTATGAGTTAAAAAAATATATTCAATATTACGATATTATTTTACAGATACGTGCTTTTTATTTTCATAGTTTTTTACAGTTTTTTTATTATTACATAATTCCTTCATTGTTTTTTCTGCCTGATTTTTAACTTGTTTTTTTTAACGCTGTGTTTTTTGGTTAATAATTCGTG